AAACAATTATAATATATAATACCATTGGCGTCGTAATCGACATCTCCCTAGAGCCCCACATAGAAACTGGAATTCTGAAAGAGAAATGACACTTACACAGATGTTTGATAAGAGTTATAGAATTTGTCATGATTTACCGAGGATGAAGATAGCCTCATTTCAAAGATTATGTGCTCGTTTACGAACATATGATTTGGTTGATAATAGATCTGTTAAAGTAGATGAACAATTGACTATATTTCTCAACATAGTTGGACATGGCCACCGTAATCAAACTAGAAGTTTTAAGTTCTTCAGATCTGGTCAAACAGTGAGTTACTACTTCCATAGAGTTATATAGGCTTGTCTTGTATTGTATAGAGATGTTGTGAACAATGCCATTATTCATAACTCATCATACGAGAAAAATAAAGTGAAGTCATGGTTCCAATATTTTCAGGTTAAGGTGGTAATGTTGAACTTCGTTTATTTTTCCTTCACTATTACTATTCTTTTTGTTACCAAACTTTTTTATTTTCGTAGGATTCTGTAGGGGCAATCGATGGTACTCACATTCCTGCAAATATCCATATAGAGGAACAAGCGAGGTATCGTAATAGGAAGCAAATAATAACTCAGAATGTTTTGGTCGCTTGTACATTTGATATGAAGTTTAGGTATATGAAGGATCTGCCCACGACGGTCAGTTGTTAAGGAGTGTAACTTTACGAGAAGGTCATGGGCTAACAATTTCTATTGGTAAGATCTACTTCTTGTTTGGTAATTTGTATTTCATATATTTCAATAAAGAACGACAACTTAACAACAATATGTGGAATATGTAAATATTATCTTGTTGATGCTGGATTTCCATTGGTTCCAGGATTTCTAGCACCCTACAGCCGGACTCTGTACCATCATAGAGATATTGAGGGACATCGGCCTGAAAGCAAGAAAGAGTTGTTTAATTTTCAACATTCATGTCTACGAAATATTGTGACTGACCAACCCTTTGGATGGGAATGACATTGATTTTGGTAGATTGCAAGTGGATCCTAATGCTAGGGCTCGTCACATACGTTGGTATGATGAAATGGATGGTTCTATAATCACTTCACTTGTTGAACAAGTGTTGGCTAGGCACAAACGAAGTGATAATGGTTTTACTTCGTTTCAAATGTCTAAGACAATTGACAGCGTTCTCAATGGATGCTGGGTCATGGTCTCAGATAAGAATGTAAAGGTAAGATTGAAGACTCTTAAAAAGGAGCTTACTGAGTTCGCTAGTTGTTAAATATGAGCGATTTTGAGTTAGATCCCGAAATTGGACGCAGTGTAGCCGACGTCGTTGCTTGGGACGATTTTATTAAGGTACAAATTAGGATGCATTTTCAACATTGCTACTCAGGGGTGGACGCAGAAGTTTAAAATTAGAGGGGCAGATCGAACTTGCAAAGAAGTTGGGAGAAATTTTACAATCGAAAATTTACGTCTAGAAAAATTATACCCCATGTAATTTTGCATCCGAAAATTTACATGAGATATGACTTTTTTGGATGTAAAACTTCGAAATTTTTTTATGTCATATT